TGATGTCTGCCGAGTGTTCAGTGATCTAGAGAAACCCCTCAGTCTGTGAACACGAAGCTGGGAATCAGATATGAGCATCGGCACTGGCATGGGCGGCAGGGGCCTTTGACCTCCAGCTGGCTCTGGACTTGCCTGAGGGAGCAGTGACTGTCCTGTGTGCTGTGTCCCTGGAGGCTTTTGTCTGTGTCGGCTCTGGTGGTCATGCTCTTATTCTGTTGATGGTCAACTCTTCTACAGAGATACCTGATTTGTAGACCCGTGTCTACTCCCTCTCATGTTGTGAAGAGTCAGGGAAACCATCCCGTAGCGACCAACCTTTTCCTGATTTCTCTTAACCACATATCCCTTTAAAATGTCATCCCGGTCCGCATGTCTCTAACTCTGCCAGACACTCCTGAAATTCACTGTCGTCTCAAGTCTCTGACAGGCTTCAGTGATACTGGTTGTCAAGTCTGCAGGTGTCACCAAGGCCAGGAGCAAACTTTAAAAGGTTAGGGAGCCAATGAGCTGGGGATAAACAAATGACTTGGGGGTGGAGCAGTGCATAAGACATTAAAAAGGAGAAAAAGAAAATGCCAGGTGAATGTAATTAGCAGCAGGCCACCTCAGATACCTGTAAAACCCACAGATTAGTTGTGGTTATTTTCTTTCTTTCTTAGCCAGGGTCTCATGAGATAGTACAAGTTAGCCTTGAAGTCATGACTCCTGCCCTGGCCTGAGGGGTGGCACATACCACACTCAGCAGCCACATAGGAAATAAGACCATTGCTGCAGTGTTAATTGCTCTTAGGTGCTAGACATACTCTGGATTTTATAGAAGTCCATGTAACATACTGAGAGATACAGAAGACAGAAATGGTGGCAGATGTTCTGGGATGAACAAGATGAGTGCCTGAGAAGGCAGCAGGCAGAATTGACCTGCAGGGAAACACAGAGGTGATGAGAAAAATTCGATGAGGCGGTGGCAAAGACCGGCTTGGGGCTGTGGTAGATGCCATTGGCTTGATTTGACTCCAGCACGGTTGACAATTGACCACACCTTGTTTCACTCTTCACTTTCTTCACTGGTCACCACACCCTGCTGCTTTTCTTATCTCAGCCCCTTTTCAGTTTCCTTCCCTTCTCACCTTGATTGTGGTGTCCCAGCATTCACCTTGGGGCCTCTTCCTCTATGGTACTTGAAATCATCCCAAGGCTTTTTTTTTTTTTTTTTTTTTTTAATGTGTATCTGTGGGCATGGTGGCTTACACCTGTAATCCCAACAGAGGCTGGTGGATCTCTGTGAGTTCAAGGCCAGCCTGGACTACATAGTGAGTTCTAGGAGGGCCAGGGATATGTAGAGAGATCCTGTCTCAAAAATAAACAAAACCAAAACAAAAAGTGCATTTGTGAAGGTGCCAGAGCCCACAGATACCAGATGGTGTCAGATCCCCCAGAACTGTCATTTGAGGTGGCTGGGAGCCACCCTGTGGGTGCTGGGAACTGAATCCAGGACCTCTGTAAGAGCAGCTTCACTCGCAGCACGAAGCAAAAGCTGACTTTGGAACTTGAATCTATATTGCTCTGGAATATGAGAGAATAGGAAACTGCCCAAGAGCAGCACATGATCTTGATGAAATATTTACCTCAAGTGAAATACTTACTGACCAGTTATTTGTAGGAGTTCCTATTAATTGATCCGAAGAGACGAGACAGTCTCTTAAAGTACTTTGTATTATATGATGTGTTATTAAAGGTAAGAGATGCTTTAAATTGTGAACATCTGACAAGGAAATGCTTGTTTTGTTTTGTTGACAGGGTCTCACTATGTAGCTCTGACTGGCTTGGATATGTAACGCAGAGTAATCTTGGGCCCATGGCAACCTTCTCATCTCGGTCTGAGTGCTGGTACAGGTATACACTACCATGCCTAGCAAAAAATACTTGTGAACAATAAACGACAATGTGAGTTACTTACAAATCCAGGACTTACTTTAAAAATTATTTCCTAAAGTAGAACATAAGAACTACAATGAGTGTGTGGAGTCCATACCTCTCACCCACTGCCTCTCCTCACATCACAAATTGCTGCCGTACATTTATCACAACTAACCAGTATTGATACATTATTGTTAACTGAAAGGCCATATTTTATTCTGATTTATTCGGATCTACAGTACCAAGATACCACATTACATGGGAGTCTTTTTTTCCTTAATATTTTTTTATTTATTCTTTGGAAATTTTCTATTTTGAATGCAATATATTTTAATCATATCCACCCCCTAGCACCTCCTCCCAGGCCCCCCAGGATCTCTTAACTCACTTCCCTCCTGACTTAATGTCCTCTTGATTGTTGTTGTTAACTCCTGAGTCCAGCTGGTCATGTACACATGCAGCCATGCACTAGAGTGTGGGCAACCTAGCAGTGGCCACGGCCTCAAGCAGTGATCCTGCTTCAGCAGCCCTCAACTGCCAGTGGCTCCCCAGCAAGGACCCCCTCCCCCATTGCATGGGTTTTCTTGTCGCCTTCATCCTCCTGTTGTGGGGCAGTTTCTAGTTTTTCATGTTTTCACTGACAGAAGGAACAATAGGCTTGTGAACGGCCGCTCTGTTTGAGTGTGGCTGGTCTACTTCTGGTTACAGTGAGGTTCTAGAAAGAAGGCCACCCTTCTCACCCTGTCATAGGTTATCAGGACAGCATCCTGCAGTCAGCCTCTTGCGGGGCCTGGGGCCTGTCTGCCAGCTTCCTCTACTGGGGAGTTACTTTGGATTATCTGTGCCTCCCCCACTTCTGTTGCTTAGAGGCCAACAGGAGACCAGCATTTCCTCCCCTCAATAGGGTGGGATGGACAGAATTAACTCCACCTCCTTGAGGACGGTATCTAGATAAATTATTCATTTGTAAGGAAAATTTGACTTCTGCATTCATTTATTAAGAAGACCATTTATTTATATGAGTATAAATTCAGATATTTAATGTTTTATCTAACATTCTGATAAGTCTGTGTATCTTACTGATCAGAATGTTCCAATGTTGGCAACTGGGATCTTTCCAAGTGGCCCCCGTAGTCTGTTGGTGAGCAGTTTCTTACTTTCTGGTATTTAAATGTGTTTCTTGCCTCAGCCCTAAAATCCAATATTTCTCCACAGGACTCTGATTTCTTTTATTGAGGCTTGTTTTGTTGGTTGTTTTTGTTTATTTGTTTAGTTTTGTTTTTGTTTTTCTGAGACAAGGTTTCTCTGTGTAACAGCCCTTGCTGTGCTGGAACTAGACCTGTAGTCTCTGCTTCTGCCTCCTGAGTGCTGGGATTAAAGGTGTGTGCTATCACACCCAGCTGAGAAGCCTTGTTTATGTGTGTGTGTTTGTGTGTTTGTTTGTTTGTGTTTTAAATCCAGGCCACCCACCCATCCACTCACTCATTTAGTAACTACTGTATTTCACTGTGATGCTGCATCGGACCAGAAGCTAGATGGATGGATGGACAGTGGGAAAGAAAGCGGATATAATCCCAGCATTGGAAAGCTAACCTGGGGACTGTGAGAGAGACAAAGGACAGCTCCCAGCCAATAAATACATAAAGTTAACCTTGATACCTTCTCTGAAGGGAAGGGACAGCTGGCAGAGATTTGAAACAACCCATGTCTGGGGTCTAGTTTAGATCAGGTGGTGGGAGAAAGTATCTGTGAGTAGCTGACACTTAGGGAGCAGCTGGAAGATGAGAAAAAACAATTCGTTTCAAAAGCAGATTGAGGATTTCCAGACTCTAGGTTAGTGGGTCAGAATTTGCTTTTCAAAGAAAGGAATGGGGTTGGCAAGATAGCTCCATAGGTGAGGGCACTTGCTGCCAAGCCTGAGCTTGATTCCTGAGACCTCCATGTTGGAAAGAGAGAACGAGTCCCCACAAGTTGTCTTCTGACATCCATGTACACCCAGACACACATTCAGATACACCAAGACACACAGACACAATACAGTTTATTTTTAATTACTTTATTATAATGAACTCACAAATGACAAACATCACACAGCTAAATGAAGATAGCCAATCAAACATTTGCCCAGTCCCAAACTCTGCGTCTCAGTGAATCCCTGTACTGTTAGAATGTCCATTCTGGAGCCATGGGATTTCATTGTGATTTTACACTTTCACGATGAATCATATTTTTAGGGACTTACACCACAAAGGAAAATCCACAACAGAGTTGAAACTAGCAAAACAGCCTTCTCCCTTCGTTCACACCTCATTGTCCCACAGCCTGCATCCCAGCCTCCCTTGTCGCCCTGCATCGCCCTGTTTGGGGGCTCCTTTCTGAGTTTCCTACCGCACCCACACAGCTCTTGACATAGGTGCGTGTATGCACTGTAGCCTGGTCGCATGTGAAGAGGAATGTGCTATGTTTTTCTTTTTCTAGGTCACCTCACTTAATGCTGCACATTCTAAGTCCATCCACTTTCCTACAAGTTTCATTTTTCTTTATAGACAAATTGTATTCCCTTTTGTATTTGTACCACTATTTAAATTTAAATAAACTTTCAAAAGGAAAATAGTACCCAAAGTATTATCTTATAAAAAGTCTGTTCTCTCTGTGTACAGACGTGTTATAGTTAAAGATGATAAGGTTCATTGTTGTTTTGTTTTGTTTTTTGAATAGAGATTATGGTCAAAAAGAAGTTTGAAAGCTACTGTTCAGGCAGCAATCGGAGTAAATAAGATGTTCTGAAGAGAGAAAACATTTTAACATCTGAAAAAATGCTCATATGCTTCTAAGGAATGTGGATAAGAGAAGTCAGAGACAGAGGGAGGCAGTGGCCGCAAGGACACAGGAGGTCACTACAGTATTGAAGCTGAGAAATAGGAAAGTCATTGGACTGTCTTTGTCCGTGGTGGTTTGGTTTTTGTTGTTACTGCTGTCTCCAGACAGGGTCTTTCTGTTTTGTATTCAGCCCCAGCTGTCCTTGAACTCACAGAGATCCACCAGTCTCTGTGTCCTGAGGGCTGGGTTTAAAGGCGTGCGCCATCACATCCAGCCCTTTTTAAAGGAAGGTTTTTATTTCTCTTCTAATTACATTTAATTGTGTGTGTCGGGGGTTGCTGGTTGATTCACCATGTAGGTCCGAGGGACTGAATTCTTCCCTGGACTTGATGGCCGCAGCCTTCACCCGCTGAGCCCTCCCACCAGCCCCAGTTAGCGGGTCTGGAATAGGGAAGTGTGGATGTCTTAGATCTTTTCAGGTATTGTTGAAAAGGGAGGGAGAGAGAAAGAGGCAGCAAAAGTGGCTTCTGGTCATGTGAGGAGTCATCAGGGCGTATTCATGTTCTCCAAGCGTCTGGAACATGCCTGGAGCATGACCAGCCTGTGTGCTACCCAGGCTCTGACTACTGAGCTAAATGTCTAGCCCCAATACTTGTCATGTGAACAGATTACACAGCTCTAGTAAAAAGGGAGAGAACTCAGTCATACTGGAAAACAGCACGTCTACACAGGCGACTGTGGCGGGTTGAGGGAAGAAGCCTTCCCTTCACACATGTAGCTCATCACACTCAGGCTTTCTCGCTGCAGAGCTGAGGGGGGGTTCTTTTAACTGTGCTTAGTCAGTCATGTTGCCCAGAAGTGGAAATAACAGAATTTTCAAGAGAAACTGAGGTTGAGTAAAATCTCAAAAACCAGTTCTCTTCACAGATTTTTCAAACCTATATGACTTATAAACTATGATGTCAAATGTCTGAACTTCCGGCAGAGTCCTCCACCCACAAATAAGAGTCCTAAGCTCCTTGGGGCTCTGTCTGGAACCTGAGAAGGAAATCATCTTTGCTCCACAGAACCTTCTGCCTGACTCCACACTAATGAAGAAAGGACTGTGGCAGTCCAGATCCTTCCCTGACACTGGGCTTGTCGCTGTGTACCCAACACCTGCAGCTGGCCTCCACGGCCCTGCTGGTGTCCTTTGCAAAGGACAGTTACTTGTCACCGTGGTAGGACTCGAGGCCATTGCCTTTGGCTGAGCTGAGCTGAGATGGGACAGAGAACTGAAGAAGCCAGGTCTCAGGAATAGAAAGATAGGGCTCTCTGGGAGTCTGAAGTGGGTTGTGGGGGGTGTGCCCCCAAACTAATGATGGGTTTTGAAGGGCTGCTTTCAGGCTGACTGAGACGCCAGCAGCAGCAGATGTTACCGGGTTTCAGGCAGTGTTTTCATTAGATGTCAGTTTTTGTGTGACAGAAACTCAAACTGCCTAAGCAAACTTTTATTTGTCCTCTGAAAACTTGACATCCGTCTAGTGCGTGGGCCCCTAGACCCACCTGTTTCGTTCATGAGCACTGCCTCTTCTGTGTACCAGCTTTTCTCACAGGCTGGCATTTGGGGGCACAAATAGTTTAGGGAATGTGGACTTGGAGGTCTCTGCTAGGCCATCAGGAAAAGAGAGATTGCCTCCTCTAGTAATACAGCTGAGAACCTGAGGATGCTTTTTCTCAGCAGGACTAGCAAATGTTTTCTCAATCCTCATTGGCCAGGACTGAACCAATCACCTGTCCTGATGCATACATACTTTGAGGGGCATCACCAGCGAAGGTCTCCAAGAAAGAAAGTAAAGAGGAGCTTCCTTGGCAACTGAGGGAGAAGTAGGTGTTGAGGAGGTGACCTGTGAATGCTTACTGTACCTTCATTATCGTGGTACAGGCCAGGTTAGATCGGGGCAATATGGACATCGATGAGAAGTCTTTCCTTCTTTGGGGGAAGAGGGCAGGCAAGGTCTCCCTGTGCAGACCACACTGGCCTGGTCTTATGGTCTTCTTCTCTCTCCCACATGCTACTGCCTTCCACTCCTGGTTATAGATAAAATCTGTTCAGAACCCCAGCTCTGCCTGCTTCTAACTAAGTTATCTCTTCAATCTCCAATTTCTTCATCTGAAAAAATGCAGCTCATGCCTATAACGCCTTGGGAGGGTGAGGCAAGAGGATTGCCATGAGTTCCAGGCCATCCTGGGCTACAGAGTTTGAATACTTATCCGAAAAACCAAACAAAAACAAAATGTTAATGGCAACCCCTCAGTGAAGATCAATTCATGTATCAAAATATATGTTTGTCCCAGCACTTGTGTGGCAGAAGCAGGCAGATCTCTTCAGTTTCCAGGCCCCCCTGGTGTATATAGGGAGTTCCAGGTCAGCCAGAGCTATAATGTGAAATCCTGTCTAGAAACAAATGAACAAAACTACCTATGGAGGGTGAAGGTACGTAAGTTTATATGTTTGAAAATATAAATCCAATAGGAAGTACTTTTGTTTCTTTATAGAGTGTCCCTGCAGTTGTTGAAGCCAGCAGGGAGGCCCATTTCCACCCAACAGGACAGCGAGCATAAGGAAGCTAGCCCTGGCAGTGTCAGGCAAGTCAGGGCCCACCTGGTGTCTTCACTGCAAGAAAGAGGGCTCACTGGTTCAGAACTAACCTTAGGCAGCAGGTGTTCAGGGCCGGGGTGGTAGAGTTTCAGCTTTGATTTGTCTATGAAGCCGCCCGGGTTATTAAGATGGTGACCCTGTTCTCTTGTTCAAGAACCAGTTTCATTTCTAATGACACAGCACCATCATGCCATTCCTTGATTTAGTCACTAGAACCAAAACTGAAGTGTGGCTGGTTTCATGTTGTTTTTATAGCAGTTAGTACAGAGAACAACAGGCTTGTGTGAAAACAGATGTGTTTGCTATCTGTTTCTCCATCTGCTGCCTCCCAGACTCAGCCATCTCTGCCATGGCTTGCTCCTCAGCCTCAGTTCTTGTCGGAGAGGCTCCCTTGAGAACAAGAACCTGGCTGCTCTTTCCAGGACTGCGGGCACATTTTTTTTTTTTTTTTTTTTTAAGAGGAAAAGAGTCTTGCCATCCCCCAAGCCATTCACCATTTGGGAGAATCCCTTTCGGAGCACCCAGGAGGACTCTTGGTTTGATGGGCCTCAGAGTGCTGAACTACAACAAGAGAAGGTGTTTAATTCTCTAGGGAAAGCCTCATCTTAATAACAATGCCAAAGTTCTCACAATAAATCATAGTCTCCTCCCGCTGGCCGTGTTTCTATAATCAGGTTTAAAAGTGAATGTTTACAAAGAAAGAAATAGAAATGGGCTAAGACTGTAGCTAAATTAGCAAAGTGCTCACCCTGTACATACTAGGCCCAAAGTTAGTCCCAGCACTGCATAAGCCAGGCATGCTGACACAAGCCTGTGATCTTAGCACTCGGGAGGATCAGAAGTTCAAGGTCATCCTGAGTTTGAGGCCAGCCTTCGCTACAGAAGATCCTCTTTAAACACACCCAGACACCTCTTTAAACACACACACACACACACACACACACACACACACACACACACACACCTCCATAAACATCGATTCTTCCATGTCTTCAGATTTAAGAATTACAGAACGTAGAACCCTAAGCTATCTCCCATATAATCTAATCGCTCTATCTGTGCTCAGGTTCCCTTGTGTATAAAATGAACCTAATAGGAAATCCTAATAGGGCAAAGAACAGCTTATATGAATAAATGTGCACAGCATGCTTGAAAAAGCACCTGGCACAGAGTGTGCCCTCCCAAAATGTCAGTTGTCCTGGGCTAGGGATGTAACTCAGTTGGTTGTGCTTGCCTAGCATTCATAAAGCCCTAGGTTCCCTACCCAGCACCACATAATACAAGGTGCTGTGACCCATACCTAATCCCATTTTGGGAAATGGAAGGATCAGAAGTTCAGGGTCATCCTTGGCTACATAGGATGAGGCCAGCCTGGGATGAGCGAGACCCTGTCTTGAAAAACAAAACAAGCCAATAAATATTAGTTGTAATCGTCCTCACTTCATGTTTTTGTCCACTGAAAGTTGAATATCTTCATCTCACCCCGCACACACACAGCCAGCCTCTCTCAATATCTGCCTACCCTCCATCAAAATCACGCTCCTGTAACCTTGACTTTTGATCTCAAATGACAGAGGAGGGTAAGCCTTGCTTCCATGGTAACAGCTGGTCTCTTCCAGAACTGTCTATTAACCAGTGTTCGTTGTGTTTTAATGATAAGCATAACTCAGATATCCTATCATATTTACACGTTGAGCCCGCTCACCAGGACACTGGGTTGGTGGCTGTGCTTCTCCGTTTTGACTTTGCTATGCTGTTGCCAGGCCTTCGTCCTGGACCTTCTCATCCAGTTGTCAATGTTTCCATTAGACTAAATTTTTTACCTCAATCCCCTCATTTAAGGAAATTCCTTAATATTGTCAAGAAAGCCATTTTCCATTTAATTTTTTCCTCTTATTTCATCTTCCGTCAATATTTTCTTATTGTGTTCACCGTCTGGGGAGTCCAAATAACAGCATGGCTGTTCAGTGCTCTCTCTGTGTGGACCTTTATCCCCTCCACGATTGCAAATTCTTGAGACCAAAAGCCAGAGCTTGGCGGCACTCCTGAGCTTCTGGGTAGAAGACAGTCTGTTGCTAGGGGACTCCTGAGAGAGCTCTTCCAAGCATGTGGCTCTCTACTCTTTCCCTCTGTTGCCTCTCTGAATTCACTTAGGCCTTCAGTAAGCAGGGACAGACTTGAAGGTGAGGGACTTAGGACCCTGGAGCCAGAGTCTGAAGGTGATGTGTTGAGGAATGAACCTGGCCTCCACCCTCTGCTGGAGTAGGGCATTTTCTCCAGCAGAAGATGCCTCTATGTCTACCTCATCGTGTTCCTTTTGGTCTGCTTTCTTCCTCCTACCTAGTCTCTCTCGCCCGCTCTCCCCTTTCCCTGATTCACTTCCAGGCCGCCCTCCCCCGCCCGGCTTCATGCCTTCCCTCTTACTCTTGCTTGGTCCTCTGTGTGCATCACGGCGGTTTCTGTTCCCTCTCGCTCTTTTTCTTTCACTTTCCCCCGCCCACCAGTCCTTTTTAACTGTGTCATCATGGCTTACAGTGTGGGAACATGGAACTCGTCGTCTCCCACATTACACAGCCATCTCTGGATTCCATGTGACCAGCATTCCTTCCCTGAGCTACTGGGGCAGAACTGATCCCCCACCACTACCAGCTGCTGAGGCCCAGCTTCTCTCTGAGTCCTGCTTCCTGCCCACGGCAGGGAGGGGGCGAGGCTCGAGCAGAAGATGGAGGCCACAGAAGTCACCCCCAGTGCCTGGTAGGACTGTTGGGCAGTGTGAAGTGGGCATGACCCCAGACATCCCGCAGGTCAGCCTCCTCTGAAAGCACAGGGGTTGGGGCGGAGGATCTGAATGACACGGGCTGCGGGGAGATATAGGGCTGCTTGGACAACTGAGAGCAACCCCTGCCTGTGCTGACATACGGGCCTGTCTTTATAATCTACAAAACCCAGCTGAAATCCAAGTCAAATGAATAACAGGGTCCTGGTCACACGCAAGGAATACTCTTCCCGTTTCCTCCTCCTCAACCCCACGCATGCGCAAGGACCACTCTTCCCATTTCCTCTTCAACCCCACGCATGCAGGCTTGTGCAATCTGTTCTTATATAAAGGTTTGCTAAACAGTCCAAGCTGAAGTTAGGTCTGGGATCTGTGCGACGCATGCTACCTCCCTTTCAAAGGTCAGCTCTCACCCACAGCAGCTACAGCAACCTGGATATTAGAGTGGGGGAGGGGAGGCGTGCCGAGGCTGCTGAGAACCGGACCTTCTTAGACTCGGTTTCACAATGTAAGGAATGTTTTGTGTATCTTACATGCAAACCAGATTTGGTGACTCGAGTGGCAGTGTCCCTTTGCGACTGTGGCCAAGGATGGAAATAAAGCCTCTCCCTCTCTTAGAGGATGGGTTTCTGCCAGGCACTTCCTTTCCTGCTGGTTTGCTCCCTTGACCCTTGGCAGCAGCCTGGCGCGCCTGCTAGCCGGCACCCAACCAGCACAGTGAAAGTGATTATTGCCCTGGCTGCCTACAGGCCTCTGCAGGCATCTTCTGTCCTGGCCTGCTTGCAGGAGCCATCAGAGCCAGGATCAAGAGGTTGGCTGAGGGGGAAAAAAAAAGTGAGCCGGGTCTCCTGGCATCTTTCCAAGTCCCAGAAAGGAACTGCTCCTAATCCAGCATCCTCTTCCTTTTTGTTCAGGTCAAGTAATTAAAGCCCACCTGCCATGGTTCCATCGTGTTGGGAAGCTTCATTCTCTATGGACCAGTGCTGGGGTGGAGCCTGATTACAGGTGACTGGGCTGTGAGAGCAGAATGGAATCTCAGAAAAGGGAGTGTTCAGCCACCTTGACTCTCTTTGTTCTGCTGTAGGATGCTGGACACAAAGGCCTCAGCAGCTGCTACCCACTGTCTGGAACTTGCCAGGCCTGAGACTCATGAGCTGAGACATAGCATTCGTTATCAAGTACCCAGTCTGGTATTCTGTGACAGCAGCCTAAGGAAACAAAGACACCTGACGCGAGTGTCCCCTCCCATGACACTGGAAAGAGCAGCCACAAACCAGGAGGCTGCAGGCCTGCCGATCTCTTGCAGTTGTCCTGGTCCTGGTGCTGAGAAAGTAAGTGATGCTTATGGACTCTGTGCACATGTAAATAAGACCTGGAGAAAAAGAAAAAGATAGTGGGAATCTTGCTGTGTAGGCATACAGTTTTTTTTTTTAAACACAGTTCTTAAAGAACTGTCTCCATAAAACCATAGCTTTCATTGGTATTTACCAAACTACACCAGTGTACTACTTCAAGCTGTCTTGTGTCAGAACGAAATGTGTAATGTTGCCTGGACCAAGTATTTATCTTAGGTTCCTTTTAACTGGTTTTGAAAGTTTTCAGAGCTGAATTTTTTAAGGGCTTTGTCCTGGACCTATGGATACACACTGAAATGCAAGAAAAAAAATATTTTAACCTCCATTTATATCTATATTTTAATCTGAAAAAAAAAAGAAATTGAGCTTTATTAGTAGAAGTATAGTAGGAATAGCAATAAATATGACTAATATTTACTGTACACAGCCACAATTATACATGTATACAGCTTCTAAGTAGCCATGTGATGCCAATGCAGGCTCAATTTTTTAAATTAGATTGTATGACCAAAAGTGTTTGGTGGGACTTCTTCTTCTGACCAGTGTGGGGTAATAGACCAAATTTGTCTTCCTTCCTGCATCAGCCTCCACAAGAAAGGCCGACAGAACACACCAGACACTTGTTTTCACAACACTAGACCTCAGGCAGTAAAGAGCAGTGTTCCCCGAGAGCCAGGAAACAGACGAGGGGCCCTCTGCTTGCCTTCACTTGTTAGCTATGCAGTGGTCACATTGCCTAATAAGCGCTGTATGTGTTTGGTTGGTGGAGTTTGGCGTCTTTTTTTCTAATAGACTACAAAGTCTTTGAGAGCAGAGGCTGCCTCTCCTGGACGGCACGCCCCCCGTCTGCAGCACAGTTGCCAAATAGACATTCACTGGCTGCTACCTGCGGCTCTCCTGGGGTGCAGCATGGCAAGATCAGGGCTGAGGGGATGTTGGAGCCATGGGCCCTGTAGAATATGTATGTACTCTGTTGCCTCAGTACGTAGATGAGGGACTCAGCCAAGCAGTGCAGTGACTTGCCAGAGCCACGGGGCTCCTCGGTGGTGAGAATCAGTGGAAATTTCCTCCTCTCTAAACCAATACTCAAGAAGTCAGCAAGACGGAGCCTCAAGCTGCACGGCGCCTTTGTTTTGGAGGCTGATTGCATATTCACGCAGCAGGGGTACGGTGGAGTGCTAGGGTTAAAGGTAGTGTGTCCAGGAGGAAGACAGGTGCTGAGAATTACTGTGGACAGGGCCACTGTGGGATGTTGAAGGATTGGTCCCCAGGTTGTGGTATGGGGGGGGGGGTTAGTGTCTGAGGTGGGCATCTGAGGAGTGGGGTCTTGTGGGAGGTCTTCAGATCACCGGGAGCGTGCCTTGGAGAGGGATGCTGGGAGGTCCTGCTGTCTCTGCTTTCCCTGCTGTGAGTGAAAGGCTGCCGTGTGTTCCCTGACATGGTATGCCTTCTTGCCACAAAAGCAGCAGGGCCAATGAGTTATGGACTAACACTCGAGAACTGTGAGCCAAAATAAACCTTTCTCTTCATAAGTCAGTTACTTCCGGCATACGTTACTGTGATGGAAAGCTGACTGTCAAAGCCACCTAGGGTTGAAGGTACAGCCGGACACTGCTCAGTTCTAGAAAGATGTTGAAGGAACTTGTAGGCTGAGTGCAGAACCAACAGAGAGCCATCTCTAAAATGAGCTAGGAGATTCCTGGGGACATTGAAGGGGACTCTGGGCTCCAGATCATGGCAGGCGTCTCCTACAAACTTTAGAAGAACCAAGGCCTGCAGAGTGACCATAGGTTGAAAGACTTGTCTTTCCCAACCGCCTGTTCCCAAATACCTGGCAGCTTCTTCCCAAATCACCACACAGAGGCTTATATTAATTATAAATTCTCAACCAATAGCTCAGGCTTGTGACTAGCTAACTCTTACACTTAAATTAACCCATATTTCTATTTATGTTTTGCCGTGTGGCTCATGACTTGTTACTTCATTTTTTACAATGCTTGTTCGGTGTCTGGCTGGCATCTCACCTGACTCTGCCCTTCTCTTTCCCATCATCTTTAGTTTGGTCACCCTGCCTATACTTCCTGCCCAGCTACTGGCCAATCAGCATTTTATATAACCAATTTCAAGTGACAGATCTTTGCAATATACAAGAGGACTATTCCACAGCACCTGTCCTTGGCCAATTATTTCTCCCGGCACAGAAAGCTGGGAAGGGTAGGATCATACAGAGAAGTCCATGTGGCAGGCTCTTCCTACTGTCTCAGCACCTGGCTGGGCTGTCTCTGGAAGTCCACACAGAGAAGATGTAGTGCCCCAGGGCTGCTCACTTGTCAGACATGGAGCTCCTCAGACCATCAGGTGTGCTATGGCACAGAAAGGATGGAAAGAACCCCGACAGTGTGTTCCCACGAGGTTAAAGCAAAGTCTGCAGATCGTTTGGACTGCTCTCAGACCTGGTTCACAGTCAGGCAATCCCGGCTCCATGACTCCTCGAAAGGGTTTATCCCAGTGTTTGCTGGAAGTGGAAGCTGTCAGCAAATCCTTCCCTTTGAGTTTTTTACTGGATTCACACCATTGCCAGCTCCTCCAAGTCCTTGAAAGGCAGCCTGGTTCTTTCTACACATTTGTCAAGCACTCAGAACTTCTAAGACATATGAGTCAGTCTCGATAGTTTTGAGACTCTATCCTGGCCCAGTGTAGGGAGCAAATTAATGCCATGGTGACTACCAGCAGAGGTGTATGGGACTGTGGGGTGAAGTTTCATGCTTTCCTGTTTTGTTTTGTTTTTTCTTTCTCTTTTTCTTTTTCTTTTTCTTTTTTTTTTCTTTTTTTTTTTTAAACAGTGGACATTTGGACTTTGCCTCACAAAAGAATCAACAAAGTCTGAAAGCAAATGGTGATTTACATGTGGCTGTGACAGCGTCTTGACCCTGGAATCCTCACAAAATTTCTCTAGGAAGGAATCAAGCCAGAGACCCTATAGCTTGGGGAGTGCTCTGAGCTGGAATTGCTCTTTGAATCCCACCCAGTGTTGGTTGAATCTCCTCGGGCTCAGAGCCCAGCTTGGGAAGAGATCTTTGGACCAACTTGACATCCAGGATCGGGCTTAACAGGCAGTGCTCAGTTGGGCTTCGCTCTCCAGCACCAGCCCTCACCCACTGAGCAGAAGCCACAGTACAGAGGGAGAAAGGCGGGTTACTGCCCCCAAAGTGGGCTTTCTGTGCGCTGACTAGACAGAGCAGTCCAGGGCTGCTGGGGTCTCTGATGCATAAACCAGGAGAGGGTGGTATAGAGTCACCGTGTGTTTGCTTGTATTGTTGTTTTCTTTTGTTTTAATCTGAAGTACTCAGAACTGAACACTGGGTTTGATCCAAAGTACTGAAAAACAAATAAAATAATTATTAATAACAAAGGAGAGTAGCTTATGTACTCTATTCTCTCAGGTGCTGGCAGTCACATGACCAGTTCTAAGTACTCTAGGCTCAAAATGCAAACTTGATGTCCCCTGGGTCAACATTGAGCTTTGTGCTGGACTCTGTGCTCTAGGGGTAAATAAACCTGCTTTATCCATGGCAACTCCTTGTAAGCTGCTGTTCCTGTGTTAACCCCATCTGCTCAACAGCCAAAACCTCAGCCTGCCTTAGTCTCCCTGCACAGCTGTCTCGACCTTCCTGAGGGCTGTACAGCCTTGTGTATTCCTCCCAGCAGTCTTTACAGTCACCCCAGCATGTCCACATACAGGTGGGTCGCTCTGCCCTTAGGTATTGGCCTTGCCACATTTCCCCCACACACTGTGGGTCAGAAGCACACACAGCACAGCCAAGGGGTACAGGTACCTTCCTCACGAGTGAGTCTGCTGCCTACACCCATCCTTGGTTCCTTAAGATTGCCCACCTTCTCCACCATTCCCCAAATCTTCTTCCTCATTTTCCTACCTCCCCTTACTGGCAAATCTCCTTCAGGAGTTCTAGGCCCCTCCCAATTGTACAGGAATCCCCAAGTGGACTGGTTTGTCTACTGCTTTCCCACAGTGCCTGCAGTGGATACATAAATTGATACGGCGGGCAGAATTCAAAGAAGAACCCATATCTGCCCTGCAGACTGACCTGCAGGTGTGATGCTTTGTGTTTTACAGGACAGCTGACCAGCCCTAACTATAAGAAAGAGTTCTGATGGGACTGACCTGACCTACTGGGGACCTCCAACCTGGGAAGGCGGGGACCTGGATCCTACCAACAAGAACTAAAACAGGGTTTCCTCCCCAATGCCTCCGGACAAATACTCTGGCCTGTTTTATGGAAGAGAGGAGAGGGCCAAGCCAGTCTGTTTCAGATTTTGGGCTTCATAGGACGGAGAACTAACAAAAAGGGTTGTTTTAAGCCACCGGATTATTGGTAATGCCGGTACGTATTTAATCATGCGGAGTTATCAATTGTTTTCTTTTGGACAGTCTCACTGTATGGCCCAGGCTAACTTCCACCTTGGAATTCTCTAACCTCAGCCTTCTGAGGGCTGAGCCTGCAGGCGTGTGTCACTACATCCACCTGACTTTTAAATGGTTTTCGTGGTCCCCGAGTCTTAGTTTATAGGCCACGGTCTTGGTAGGCTGCAGATTTCTAGCAAGTGGGAGGAAAGCTGGCCACCTGGTTCACTGTGGGTGTCACTCAGAAGTCCATGGTGATGTCACTCAGAAGCCGAGGCCTCACAGAGAGGCACAAAGGAGGAGGAGGAGGGAGAAGAGGAGAAGGCAGCAACATTGAACACAATGTTGGTAAAGATCAAGAGAAAGGAGATACCTACCAGTGATGGAACCAGATCCTTCAGGGGTGGCCCCCGGGCTCCTGGAAGGCTGGCTTCAGGGAAGTAGAAAATGAGAGGTGGCCAGAGGGGCTGTGCTTCAGAGTTACACAGGGTGTCGGCCATTTGACAGCATCAGGGTAGCATGGGTTAGCATAGAAATGTATTCTGGGTCCATGGCGTGAAGGCTCTGGAATGAGAAGCAGCATGATTTGGTAGGAATGAGGGGCCATGCCAAGCCCGGGAGGATAGACTCGAAGTGGACTGAGTATACACGGTGAATTGAGTGTGGCAGCAAGACAGAAGCCTGCTGTGGGATGTGTTGATCACATTCTGACAGTAAAGCTTGCTTGGAGTCAGAGGGCAGAGCTAGCCACTCGCTGACCAAAATTAACCATAGAGGTTTTGGAGGACAGGACAGATAGGAGACAGGAAGTAGTAAGGTGGGGCAGAGAGAGGATCTCTGCCTTTTTTGGGGATCACTGGTGGCTCCTCCACTTCTCTGATCATTCAGGTTCTCACCCCAATAACTGACTCCCGATTTTTTTAATTGAAAAGTAATTAGATAAACGCTTCAGGGGGCTTCCGTGCAGACAGAGGATAGAATGGGAACCATCACAGTAACTTTGCCATGGGGACAACAGATAAAAAAATAAAAACCACAGCTTCCGGCTTGATTCCATCCCTCAGTCCAGCCTTCCTCCGCTTCTCCCTGTACCGCCATCACCACCACGTGCCCAAAAGACAAGAGCCACTGCGTTTAAGGAGCTGAGAATGACTAATGTCAGGTAATAAGCGTTAAGTCTCATGAGGGCGACCTCAGCAGGGCCATGGTGGCACACACCTTTAATCCCAGCACTCAGGAGCCAGAGGCAGGCGGATCTCTGTGAGTTCAAGGCCAGCCTGGTCTACAGAGTTAGTTTCAAGCCAGCCAGGGCAACACAGAGAAACCCTGTCTCAAAAAACAAACCGAAAAAACCCCACAGCCTCTGGTGAAGATAAATGTCAACCAGGTGAAGCCACGGCGCACCTTCAGGAAAGAATGGTATGGGGTCACTGTCTTATCTCCTTGATTTTTTTGTTTTAATTTGAAGTGCTTGGGACTGAACTCTGGGTTTGATCTAGAGCAGTAAAAAATAAATAAATAAATAAATAAATAAATAAATATTAATAATAAAGGAGAATTTAAGTATTTTATGTATTCTCTCATTCATACTTCCTAATCATAACTTCATAGGGTAAAAGACACACAATGTCGCCTTTGTTCACCACCAGACCAGTCAAGGCCAGACCAGGCCAGCAGGCTGCTCTTCCTCCCGACTCGCTCTGGGTAAGCACACGTCTTCCACCCGTACTTTAAAGGCAGATGATTCGTTTTTATCATTTGCCAACACAGCTGAGCATGATTATTAATTAATCAAAAACACTGACTTTTAACTTCCCACGCTCTCTCCAGAGATGCTCAGTGACAGCCTGCATCTGGACTTCAGAGCTGTTTAGATAGACGTGGGCACCATGCAGCAAAGACTTGTTTTTTCTGGTTTATTCTTCTTAAGACACAACTCTAGCTTAATCCCATTTAGGCAGTAAACTTGATTTTAAGGTGGTCCCATGTTGTGGGGGTTCTCTTGGTCTCTTTATACAGCTTCCTTTGAAACCAGAATGCTGTGTCAGGATTTCATGGGAAGAAAAATGAGTTCAGAGCACATTTTCTGTTCATCAAAAGCTTGAACCGAAGCACACACACCAGCAGTGTGTCCCATGAATAATGAAACGCCATAGTCTTCTCTGCTTGCCGAGGGACTCTGGTGTTATCTGAGTTCAAGGTCTCAGACGTGACTACCTACAGGTTTCCAGGAGCGAATGTGCAATATTCTATGTGAAAGGATCGTGACAAGGATGGTCTGAGGCAGTGCTGAGGTTTGAGCCAGCAAGCACATGCCTGTTTCTAAGGTGGTGCTACACCATCTTTGTGACCATACTGTGGTTTTCAATGCAAAAAAAGGAAAGAGAAGGCAGAGAACAGCTCACCTCAAACTACACCTCAAAGCAGAAGAGCTACTCTCTAAAATAGAGTATTTGTTGTTGGCTCCAGCAGAGGCTAGGAAAAAAAAAAAATCCCACGCCTTTGGGAGCAACACAGATTGACAAAGGATTTTAAACAAAAGCATGGCCATGCTTCCTTTTTGAAGGCTTTGTCTGTGCTGTGGATGCAAGCTCTGAGATCGCTGTGGATGCCTTCAGAGTGGCAGCTTACTGTAATGTCTAACCCTGATTCCAAGTGCTGGTGTTCTTCACCCTCCAGCCACCTGCCCTTTTTTTTTTTTTTTTTTTTTTTTTTTAATGTTTTGTTTTTAGCTTATTCGTTTGCATTTTTCCAGGAGGTGTGGGGGGAAAACAAAAGGAGATTAAAACAAAACAAAAACCACCCACTTGTCACAGGCCCTTTGCTACTACCTGTCACAGCTCTGGTAAAAGACAGAAGAGGAAGCTATTCGCCAAGATAAGAGCCTGAGACAAGATCTGCAGATCACCTACGAGAGTCATTCATTCATGCTGTCCTCCCAGTCACCTGAGAACAATGGAGCAAAGTGCGTTGTTTTTCAAGAAGAGTAAAAGCCTTATGTCATCTCTAGGAACTGGCCAAAATAGCTCAGGAGATAAAACTAATAGAGCCACATCGTGTCTTGATGACATTAAACCAGTGCAGTTCCAGCTAGTGAAGCTCCGCCCACTGTTTCAGGCCTGGAGCTGGCTTCAGAACTGGTGGATCAGCCTATCCCTGGTTAGCCAGGTAAAAAAGTGAACTCATTCTTAGGCTACTCAGCATCCCTGGGCATTTCTGAAGTTCTTCTGAATGGGTGGGAAAAAGAAACTGGAGTCGATGAGTTCAGGTCTTTGATTACGAGCGTGACTGAAACCAGAGAGCCCCCAAAAGTCAGCTTGCAGGTGGGACCAGTCAGAAGGCCTGGACTCTCCTTCCCCTTCATGCATACTCCAGCTATCTTGCCTGACCAGCTTTTTCCCTCTAGACTAGGGCAGAGGACACACCAGACTCAGGGGCCCAGACTCCCATCTTGGTAGGGTTGTCTCAGTTAGGGATTCTATTGCTGCAATAAACACTGTGATCAAACTTAGGGGGAAAACGGTTCATTTCACTTTACAGCTTATAGTCCACCATGAAGGGAAGTCAGGATAGCACCTCAAGGCACGAACCTGAAGCCAGAACTGATGCAGAGACCATGGAGGAGTGCTGCTTACTGGCTTGTTCTCCATGGCTTGCTCAGCCTGCTCTATTGTAGCGCCTAAGACCACGAGCCCAGGTTTGGCACCACTCACAGTGAGCTGGACCCTTCCACGTCAGTCATCAATCAAAGCACTGCACCACAGGCGTGCTAATCTGGTGGGACGTTTTCTCAACTGATGTTTCCTCTCTGAAAATTACAAGCACATCAAAAGGAGACAGCTCTTTTGGTAGGGTTTTAAATTTTCAGAGAAAGTATCTGATTGGCCTAGATTAGATGGGCCGCGATTCCGCCAGCTCTGCTCAGAGAGTGGAATTGTTGCTGGAGTATTAGCGTGAAAGTCTGGGCTCTGGCAGCCACAAGCCAGGTTTTTAGCCACCTGTCCTTCCTCAGCATGCCTGTTATAGAGACAAATTAGGGACAAGCAGGGACATTGGGGAGAAGGGCAAAATAAAGGGGTCCAGTGACCCTCAAATCTATCCTTGGGTACTGATAAGAGTCAGATATAGCCAACCTTTTGAAATTGAGACACAACATTGACATTTACCAAAAAACAAAACAGAATAAAACAACACACACACACACACACACACACACACACACACACACACCTCATTAACGTTTTAAATAAGCTTACCATTTTGTGTCATGCTCCTCTCATAGCTCTCCTTGGCTCCGCGCTGCCTGTGAGGTTGCACATACTTGGGAGGGCTAAAGGTATGCATAATTAAGCAGTCCTGGCCAAGGGGTGGTCCCACCCATCAATGACCCATCATTGTCCTGGCTCCATCCCTCCAGCAAGGTGGTCTGACGAGTTGGCAGAACTGTGTGAAATCTCCTCCTGGGAGGCAAGTTCCTCCTCTGACTGGCACCTCCTTCAGCCTTTCCTTCCCCCACTATGGGATTCCTGTGGACATTTTAATCCTTTGGGGTCTATTGTCTGACAGTCTTTAACAAGAATATCTTGGCTCCTGCCAGGGTGGTATAGGATCAGGAGTCTAGACTTCGCTGCTAGGCAAGGAGTGAGTCCTCCGAGGAGTGTTTATTACCCCAAAAGAACAGGGCACCTGCCCTCCTCTTGCTCACAACCTGAAATCTAAAGTTCCTGTGTTGGAAAAAATGACCACTAAAATAGTTTAGGCCAGTTGCTATGGTGAAGGGGTAGATGCCCAATTAGAATGAACACTTAGGAAATAACTAGAGTGTCCCCAGTTTCAGAAGAATGGGAAACATATTAAAGGTGAATAAAGCAGGCACCCACCGCAATGAAAATGAAGTACACTTACTCTGTTTGGAATGGATGTCACAAAATCACAGTGGTATGAGAATAAAAGCAAGTCACAGAAAAAACAGATTCCAGACAATTTTACTTATATAAGTTTTTAAAACATGCAAAGGCAGAAAATATACTTAGGAACACATGTCTATTAAAACACAACTATGAAAAGAAATGACAGGCCAAATTCAGGAGAGTAGTCACACATATGGCAACATAATCAGAAATTGATTTTCAGAGGACTAACACACTGTCATGGTTCTGTTCAGCTGAACAATGGCTTTGGCAATCATTTTATCATTATTTGGTCTGTATGCACTTTACTTCTTTGTATATTTTATATCAGACCCACAAATGAAGGCTGCTAGGCAAGCGTTCTGCCTCACGAGAGCAATTCCTTGCACCAGGCGCCAGCTGCCTGTGATGTGCTCATGTGCTGAGGAGCTGCAGAAAGCAGTGAGCAGTGACTGTTATTTGTCCAGTGGTTTTCTGTTTTCTGTTCATGTGATAACCACCCAACAAGAAAGTGTTTGGGTAACCTGTCAGAGCTCGAGTAGAGTACCTGAGGCACAGCGTTTTCTATGTCCTTTGACCTAATATCAAGAAGCTATTTGTCTCTGCTCCCAGCTCCACCATCCCAACCATAGAGAGCCAGCTGATCAGCATTTCCATCAAAGTATGATTACAAACTGTCTGATGGTAAATTCAAAAGAGAGGCATGTGATCCAGGTACAGTCCTAGGTATATGTCCAGGAAAACTGAAGGCATGGATTTGAACAGAGAGGCTTTATTTGTATTCTACGGTTTATGGCAGTAGCCAAAAGATAGAAGCGGCTCACATGGCTACCAACAGATGAACAGATAAACAAAATGTGTGGTAGCCATAACCCATGGACTGTCAGCCATATAAAAAGAAATGAAATTCTACTACTTATAACAACATGGACAGACCTTCTTGGAAACATTATGGTAAGTGAAATGAGTCATACACCAAAAGACAGATATTGTCTGATTTCATGTACAAAAGGTATGTAGAGTAGGCAAATTCATTTAGATGAAAAAATAGTGTAGGTGGAGGGGAAGGAAAGTTATTATTTAGGGAATAGGGAATCTGGCATAGTGTTATAGTTCTACAATAAAGTGAGTATATTTGATACCCTTGAATTATGCACTTGCAAATTGTTAAAATGATAACTATAATGTAGTCTTTACCCCAATTAGGAAGAAACACAATCACAGAGCACCATGAAGGCTCCACATCTGGGTGAAAGAAATGGTCCTGGGAAGGTAGACCACGGCACAGCATCCTATTCCTTTCATGGTTTACCCTGTTAATTTCCCGAAGGTCATCAACAGTTAATTCCCCAAAGGTCATCTCCACATCAGTTTATTCCCAGTGCAGGCCTGTAGACTAGACATATCATTTGTATGTTTTCGACATAATAGAATGAAAACTTCTCAGGCTCATGGGGTGTGGTATTGTAACTCCTGACTGTAGTGGCCGAAGTCCATGGAGCAGGGTTAACACCACTGATGTGGACCAGTCAGGGTCCACAGTGGGCTTCTGAGGGAGGTGATGCCTGGCAGGGGCTGACTGTGGTCA